TGGGCAGCAGGCAATGCTCCAAAAAACCAACACAGAAAGATTTCCTCGTAGTCTGTATTAATCGTCAAGAAAGCATGACGTAATCATTCGATGATGTCGACTATCTTATCAACTGAGAATGATTATTTACGGGGATGATAAATCGATGACGAGACTTAGGAAATGAGGCAAGAAAATTTAGGCTGCATTGTCCCCAGGAATTTGGATAATCAAGATCAAAAAAATCAACCCTAGAGTTTTTCAATCTTATGCATCTCTTTGTCATTGTTTTGAATGGAGGTTGGTGTTTTTTCCATTATTTTATGTCACTAAGATCCCAACGTTTTCCTGCTTTTACGATTGCTCCGTATTCAAATTTTATTACTGAAATTACAGATGTTTCGAGCCCTAATGCCTCGTTTTCAAGTCATAATGATAAAGACAGAGCTCCGTCAGGGATTAAAGTTGGCAGTTAACTGCGAATAACTGGCATAAAAATATTTCTCATTTTCATATCATAGTGCGGGTTCGAATATTTGTGTTCTGGATGAATAGAACTTTAATTTAAAGTTAAAATCTGTATCCTAACGTTCCTTTCGACAGAGATTGCGCTGATGTGCTGTCTATCGATTCGGTGCTGTTTGAGGGCAAAGCGTTGTACAAACGCAGAATTATTTTTGCATTCCAGTTTTATTACAAGGGATCCTTCTTCTGCTTCCTGCCACGTCCTTGTTGTGCAAGGCATTATTCTCTGAAGTAACCGCTGTTTCATCTCTTAAGCTTATGGTGTCTGGTAATTGATACTTTTCTCGATGGAAGTACTGGTTTCTCTACCGTAGAATTCACTGCATCTTTACGAGGGGGGGGGGACAGTAAGCCCATGTGCATTGTTCGTTTTCAGCTCTTTTATTAAAGCTCCACATGCATGCCAACGTCTGTTCAACTTATGAGTTCGAGAGTCGATATCAGACGTGTTTGGCTACGCATTCTTCAAAACAGCTTTAAACAAAATTGTTTTAAAGTCGCAATTGCGGTCATCCGCCACTTCATCACGGTCTACGCCGTTGCACGACAGCTTCAACACGACAAAGGAAAAGGAACACTTGCAACCGCAGTAACACTGATCATTAACTTCTAAGATAGGAGTCAGTTCTTTCATAGACGTTATCTATATGGAAGGGATGAAAAGAGAGTGACTTCGTCATAATTCAAAACTCGGATATTGTGGCTATGAATTTTGAACTATACCGATTTAGCCACAGGGCAAATATATGCAGGAAGCTGTTTTCCAAGTTGTTGAAAGTGTACCGTCTGATAATGTTCTTGAAGAATCATTTGTTCCCCTCAGAACAGTTAAAGATTCGTTTTGGCACAGAGTGCGATTTCACGAGTAAACTCTCTACGTCGAAGTATTTTCTGAGGATAGACGTATGCTTGGAACCAGTTGCCGTTAAGAGTAAACTTCTCTATGGCTTAATCACATCGCTGAACGTTTTGAAGAAAGTAGAACTCTCTTCTGGAACGGTGAATGGGTTGATGGCCAAATGTCGGAAGGTTCTTGCCCAATCTTAAATGGCCTTCGAGGCTTTTGAATTCATAGGACGCAACATTTACCTGCATCAATCCATAAAAATTACGCGTTTTGTGTTTTACGTGCTTTGTCGTTCAGCTTGCTTAATTGCCTCAAGCTTAAACAATGAAACTTTGCAACCATGAGGTATCGATTTCCCTTACCCTTCATGATTTGGACCAATTCTGGCGCCTTTCATCTTATGAAGCTTATGATGCAACGTTGATCTCTATTTCTATGCTATCGGTCAATAACGCCCTTTATGAACGTAGCATGCATAAACGGGTAGTCTCCTGTTTCCTCCCAACAAAGTGACACATATTTATCAACGTCGTAAGGAAGAAACGCGGGTAACTCAACCGGGCTCGAACCTCGAACATCGCGGTTCTGAGTCAGGCGTCTATTGACTCAGCAAGCCAGGTCAACCTCAGTTGCCTTGAGCTTCCCGTCGAGGGTGATCTGGGAAGTACTTGTCGTTAAATATCGCTTTAACATGGAAGGAAGCGAAGAAGCGCTGCACTTGGCGTCGCTTGGAGCTTTAGTTACTTTGACCATTGGGCTGCTATGAATCGAAGTCTGAGTTGATTTAACGAAATCGCGCAATGATGATGACCGGAGGTCATGCTTCGTGAACGAAAGCTAGAGGCGGAGTTATTTGGTGACATGTCGCCGACGGATGGCGACTGCTGCCAAAACGGGTCCTCCGGAAACCGCAAAAAATGAGGTGATGAATGAGCGACGACATCAACGTCAGGACATCGGCCGTCGGCAACGGCAACAAGCTAGCGATGGATCGAAAAACAGCCGTGCGGCCCATCCTCATCGATCAACGAGCAAAACGAGGACGACGTTTTGCAGTTGACTGCCGCCTCATTGTCGCTGTTGTCGCAATCGTTGACAACCGTAGTCATTCCATTTTTTACCTTTCCGTTCTGGACTTCACTTTGACAAACGCCAGATGCCAAGCCCACGCTGCAAGCAAATTCTCTCGCCCACGTTCCACGATAACAAACCGTCTTTCGTCGACAAATATTGACACATGCGTCGTAAGAACGACAGATTATAAATGACCGACGATCCATTCATCGATGGCTATGAATGGAATGTGTTGGTCGCGGACCACCGACTCTACGTGAGATACCTGACTACACAGAACCGGTTACTTCACGTCACCTGCTGTTGTGCATTTCATTCTTCGCTTGCAAGTTACCGTCTTAAAACAGTAATCTAAAAAATTTCTTTTGTGATAACTGCCCTATTTACCGGAGTATTTTTCGCTTGCAGTAATTCGTCGCAAGAAAATCAGAATTAGCGATTCTTCGAGGTTCCACGTTTCTGAGAAAATAAAATTTTCAGTTATTTCTAGTGAGTTAACTCGGTAATAAGCACACCAATTAGATACAAAGGAATAATTATGCCATGACCTTATTTGTGGATGAAAGTTTTATGTGCTCCTTCATGGCTTTACTTCCTTTAAACCGTCGTAATCGATCCTCGACGTTTCGATCACGAAGAGGGATGAACAAACAACGGCTGAGGTGGTGCAAAAAGACGAGGCACCGTCAGCGCGTACGTTCCTGACTCACTACGGCGGCAACAATGAAAGGTAAGCCACGAACTCCTCCATAACAGCCGGTTGTAGCAAGCTCGACTCCCATAAAAATAAGTTCTGTTCAAATCTCTGAGGGAGTGAATGACTCGCTCACTACAAATAGACAGAACAATGAGGTGCCATTCTGAGGAAAGAGGGAAGATTCTTTCTTGTGGTGTCATCTGCGGAATACATCTGCAACGGAGAATTGCTATCCGTACATAAAACCGATAGGTGAGATAGTTGCGCGACCGTGATTGAGAATAGCGAGAAATTGAAAGAAATATCCGTTGCAACTTGAAGGTTCCAAATGCTGGAAATCAGACTGAGAACATAAGTCGGACTTCGACACCAGGGAGTAGTTTCTCATTCTCAGAACAGACGAAAAAACTTCTTTCGTACTCTTGTGTTGACTTACAGCGAACGGCGAATGTAAATGTAAGTATGGCCTCGTTTAACAAGCTTGTAAACTTCCAGTTTTCGGATGAATGCCTGTTCACGTATTCGCGCTTATGTCCAACTCTTTCTCCTGTGATTTGAGTTGAGGTTCAAATATAAAATTTTACTGCTCGAAACCGTAGCCGAATGCAGATGCCAGTGGCAAGGTCAGGTGAGGTATAATCGCCTATGGCAGCGGAATCGCATCCACTGTTTTTAATACGTCGTTCAGAAAACTGAGACGAAAGCTTGTTCGAGGTGAAGGCAAATGAATTCGTTGGCACTTTGAGTTTCCGTTCGCGCGGGATAGTGTTTCAAGCGCGAAGTGACGACCATGATTATGCTAATGACTGCAATGATGCTAGTGATGAAGATTTTAGTACCGATGAGTACAACTGTGACGATGATAATTATGGTGGTAATGATCATCATTACAAAGGTAGCCATGATGATACCGGTGAAACGATAGCGAGGATGATGATGCTGATTCGACATTAGAATTTCGAACTTTTAAGGTGCAGAAAAACTCATATCTGCCGCGTAGAAAAAGAATCTCTATCCTTGCTTGACATTTTCGAAATGCTTGCGCATTCACAATCAAGCAAGAAATGGTGATTGATTGCAATTTGCACCATCTGTGGTGCAGGCAGAAATGAACGACAAAAACTAAACATGCCTCACAGACTCGTTTCTGTCATGGTGAACAGTTTCACAACAAGGCACAGAGCCAGAATGCTATTGTAATTAGGCGTTACGTGTACATGACCCCCCCCCCCGGAACAAAATGGTTAGTTGCGAAAATACAACACTCTAAAATCTGGTTGCGGTCAAAAGGAGGGATAGACAGTATTGTGAACTATGTTGGGTCTTCGTGTTTTTGTCTGCACTTTGCTGTGGACATGTTTGACCTAAAAATGTTCGGAAACGGTTTATCATAATTTTAACAATTTTCATTACATCCGAGAAAGATATATTCGTCGAGGAGGACCGCAGATCTGTCCATGATTTCGTTTAGGATAGAAACTTGCGGACGGCAAATTCCATGATCGAGTTTCGTTAAGGATGAGTCAATGATATTTCGCATTAACTCATAACTTGATTCATCCATCATATCAAGGATATGAGTCGTTCCCGCAATATCGACGAATGCCTCATAACTGTTTTACACATAAACCGTGATTTGCTTCTCGACTCTGCCAACGGATCCTTGAAACGCTGTACGACACGCAAGCGAAACTTGTTTAGTGCTGGATCGCCGGTTTACTGTTCCGTCCATATCTCTAATCCAGCGGCTCCCAAACCTCGGGTTGCGATCCAAATGATGATCACGGGAGGATGTTTGGAAAAGATTTGTTGGCAAATATTGAATTTACGTTTAGCCACGTGGAACAGCTACTGAAATTCGTTGTTTTAGTTTATTTTAATAAATTCAGGGAAGCAAATTTAAAAAGTATCATGCGCATCTTGAAATAATAGATGATTAAATGTCTGTTCCATCAGGTCACGAGGTCAGCAGAAGATTGTATTTTTGATCACGAATTAAATGCTTGGAAAACGCTGCTTCAGGCTGTATGCATCATTCGAGTTGACAGAAGAAGAGTAGGAAGATAGAATCTACTTTTAACTTCTACTTAACAAAGAGAAAATCTTACCGTTTGCTAAAAAAGAAAACAACACCCCATTTCATCTTCATCTTCCATCTTTCTTATGACTGTACAAACAAAATATTAGGAATGGAATTCTCATTCGCTGACTAAGATTCAGGAGCGATTCATTCTACGATGAACTTATGCATGAATATCGAAACATGTTCATAAGCCAGTTATGTCGATTAACGCACAATCCATTCAAGACCATATTTCAGGGCATATTGCACAGCCCCCATGCTCCTACTTGCAAAGCAGCGCCATTTAACCAGGCCACAGATTCTTAGTGTCTGAGTAGCTAGTCTTGGAGAAGTTATAAATTATTGACATATCCTGACTATGGACATATTTTGGTGATTATTATGTGGTAGCATATAAACAAATAAAATAAGTTTTTTCCTAGATACTCCTTGTGGTGATTATGACATTGGATAGTCGGTTATATTGAACAACATTGCCGTATACCTAGTCATACTGGTACGCCCAGTCTAGAATAGCCTGTTATCCCTAGTATTCTCATGGCCACAATATACTACCCATTTCTTGGCTAATTGCACCAAAGCAACGTGGGGTTAATTCCATGCTCAATGGAGCTGGCGGATAATCCAAGCATAGCCCATACTTTTGATTTGAGCCCTGCACCTTTGAAGTTTTTCATCACTGTGCCATGGCACTCCAGTAAAAGAGTACGGTTACCGTAACATTGCCTGTCTAAATAGCTTCTCTGTGCAACCAGGAGCAAACAGACAGTGCATCACACTGTTAAGTTTTGTCTGAAAAAACTTTTGCGTTAAATGAACTAGCAACAATCCTTTATTTAAAACGAAATTATACAGATCTGCAATTTCCTTTGGTCAAGCTTTCTCTAAACCTAAATGAATTTAAAATGACCTGTTCTGAAATGATAATTTGATAATCTGTGCTGAAAAAACTGTTTATTTGTAGTCTGATTGCAATCTGTCGGAATCATTGATTGATGCCAAACATAGTCCTCGAAAACTGGTTTCTTCCGTTTCGTCTTGACCTCCAAGTATATTAAGTATTGTCCTGTTTTCATACTGTTTCTCATTTTTGTTTTTCAGGGGCCGCCGACTGAAGCCATTTCGACCTCCCGAACCTGCCGGTACTCGGCAGCTAATCGTGTTGTCGTAGCGCAGGAAGTTTAGCCACTCGCTGGCGGGCTGACTGTGATATAATTAAGCAGGAAACAAAAATTATTTTCAACATTTATGATTCTGGACCCGTTCGTAAAACTACAGTTGCTCTGTCGATTCATCACTGAGGGCACAAAACCAATCAGATTTTGACAATCTTTGTAGAAACGCGTCTCGCCGCACATTCCGTAGTATCATATGGAAATAGTAAAATTCTGCACAGTCAAAAATAGAAAATTCGGTTGCCGAGAGACCTGCATAGCCGATGCGATGGATATATCAAATCTTCGATCTGCGCCGAAGGACGACCTTCAAAACCGGTTTCAGGCGACGAAGTTCAAAAACAATTTCGGCTGTACCGTTCGACGATTTGCTGCCACGTACAAAAAACTACGCATTTCCCCATGACAAACAACTGTTCAAGTTGCCATCGACGACGTTGAAGACAGCCACGTTATGCATCGTAGCAAATCGTGCAGTCGCGTACCAATTGGACACATTAATTTTGGGATTTAATTTTTTTAAAAATTAATTTACGTATGGTTTAAGAAGGGCAAACTGTTAAGTAGCGCTTACTAAGCACGCCAAAACAAGTTTATGCACCTCGCAACCGGAAATTACTAGGTGAATATGCGGTATGGACAAAGAATCCCGTGGCGTCAGTCACGGAAGCTCATAAATCAGGGGATACGTACACTTGTAAAAGTTACGCTAATGGTAATGCAGAATTCAGTATATTCTGGTCGATAGTGTAATATCGAAGAATGTTCTTTTTGGTAGGAATAAAGCATGAGTATCTAACCGAAAATGAATCGATTGTATGGATTGGTCAGAAGGCCGTTTGGTCATTAATCTTTAGACCATGGCGAAAATAGCGTGTGAACATCTGCTAACCCCTGTACTTTTGTTCTGGCTCTTTCGTGACAGACTGTAAAAGCATTTGAACGACCAGACTTGGCAGAAAAGGCGAGTACCATACTGTACATTCGTCAGAAGCCTGCATTTTCAGACGATAATTTCCAACAGGTGTCACACCAGTGCAGGAGATCGATGAAGTGGACTCGTTTCTCGTTTCGATACATTCACGTACTTCACTGTACTCACGTCTTTCTCGTAAAAGAAACGTGGCTACATCCCACGGAAACGAAAACATCGCCTGTTGCCACTCTGATCATCTCGGAAAAGTCAAGTCGTGTGACGGTAACGTAAGAACGTGCGTCAACTTGACTAGGTGTGCAAAATGTTCAGAGAAGTTTCGGTTCTGTGAAAACGATTTACAGTATCTCATGGTGGAGTGCAAGTGAGGATTTTTTATAGAAAGCGAATTGCTCTCATCACAAGCCTTTGGGAACTACTTGATCGACTATGTCTACGGTTTGAGTAGTACTCCTACCAGATGCTCTGAAAACGCCACTGTTGCTCTGGCCAGTCCTGTTCTAGCCGATCCAACGCACTCTTTGTACCCTTGCTTCCAACAACGCCCTTCGAACCGATCAAGTACAAGATCCGCGTACGGTCCTCGCAGATGTTGGACTGAGACTTACCGAACGTCAGTAGTCCCGCTCACTCTCCGGTGTCTGATCGGTCAATCTTAGAGGGACCCATTTTATCACTGACCGTTTTGTCATTGCCTATATTCAGGTTTTCGTTAATTGTGAATGCCTTACGATTCAGTTAACTACATTTGACAGTCAAACTGTCTCTGACTATATTATGCATGTATTGAATAAGATTAAAATAATTAACTAATAAACGTGACTGACTATTATGGAATTGCTGAATATTCGATATATGGTATGTGACTGTCTTTAGGGTTGACTTAAGTAAATTTAATTGGCTAACGACTGACTGTCTGCCTGGCTGACTGAGTGATGCAGGTTATAACTCAGTTAGGATATTTGCTGAAATTTAAAATAGAGTTAAATACATCAGCAACACATTGTATTCAAAAATGCTCATGATATTCTAAGTTTATGGCCAAACGTTAGTTTTTGGTACCAGCGTTCATCACGGCATGCACGATTCACTGGGAGTCAATTACATGCTTCTAGCATACAGGGGACCCCTGTTGCAATACCTCGTCTATGCCGGTCCTGGCATATGTGCAGAATTGAATCTCAAACGTAATAAGCTCGTGCGACAAGCAGCATGGAGTTTGATAACATCGGTGAAAAGGAGCTGATGAAATGCATTGCAGATCTGGTCATCAAAGCGAGATGTAGTTCTGGTCAATCTTAGAAGACCCAGATAATCTACAGCACCTACTGATCTTAAAGGCTTGTTCTCAACCTAGTAGCTAGCACCAGTAATAGCTATACTGCACTGCCGGATAGAACCGACGGATGTCATCGCTGAGTGATGATGTCGTTTATGTTGAGAGTCCTTCAAAACCTAGTACACAGGAAAATCATTTCCAGAAATTTATTGGAAAGAACTTATGAACGTTCATTAATGGGTTTAAAGCGTTATTTGAACTGTACAAATTAAAAGAGTCTTGACGCATTTCCATATAGTGCTGCCAATACACTGATTGACTGATTCATTGATTGAGTTAAACAGGTCACGACTCAACAGTGTTTTCGCACCTTCAGCGCATGAATGAAAAACTTGTACGACTAAGTCGTATCGAACAAATGTATGTTCGAACATACAATAGCATATCTCGATTGGTAGTGTTAATTACTGAACAAACGATACTCATGATGAAGCGTATTTAGAGAAGCTAGTTTTCCGTATCATCCGCCGTCATAACTTCTGGTCTGCTTTCTAATCCACTCTAAACTGCGCGCTAAGCTTCCTTGCGTGAACGACAGATGTAAGTGACTACTCTGCTAGGGGTGATTCTCCTTAAAGTTCTATGATGGGTGCTTTTATCGTATCGTTGGCACCATTTCGATGCGATCAGCTGAGACCTTCGTACTCAAAGCAATATCCAGTCAATTTTGTTGATACAAGACAGAATCTTTTTTCTAAAACTACTTCGAATTATAGGATATTCGTGAGTTCATTTACTCTTTGTCATGTCCGTTGACTTTCGAGACGAACAGGTGATAATGCGGAATCCAGGTGACAACTGAGGTAAAATCTTGCATGGTGAATTTGGTGATGACAAAACGTCTCTCACACATCCATCATGCGCGATATATGCGACTCCTTGGCCAACCGGAAATTGGACATCAGGACAAAAGAGCACTTTTCCGCGGTCAGCCTCAGGCAGGCTGACAATTCCGGTATTGCCCGACATGCGGTTGCTGAAGGAAATTCTTTCAGTCTTCGACCAATGTGTCCGTTGTAGATAACGACCAATCTAAATTGCATCTGCTGATAGTCTTCCTTTCACATACTGGCAGTGGAAAGCCGGATGTGCAAAGAATAAACTTTGCTACTTTGCTACTTTACTAAACTGTGCTACTTTTAAAGTTATTACCGTAAGCTGGAGGGACGACTGTAAATTGATAAGATCGTTTTAATGGGAAACTAGTACTGGTTTGTTGATTAACACTCCGACCGTTCGATTTGATAACGTTTGATTGTAAAGTATTGTTCGCTTGTTCGACATCTGTCTTCAAGCATTCGTTTCCACTTAGCATAGCCCGAGGATGCTAAGGTAGCTAAGGATGCTGTGTAGCTCGAAAGGCGTTGGCAATGAAATGTTGCAGCATCTGTTGTATTTGGTGCCCTGAACTATGAATCGTTCAATTTGTCTACTGCATAATGTTGCATTGTTTCAGTTTTGATTCAGCTATCTGTAATATCTTCCTTATTTATTTCAGTCACTGCATTTATTTTCTTACTTATGGACTATCTGTTTTATGTTATCTGTTTATTTATCCCGTTTCGACCATGCTGAAAAATTATGCTTGCTGTAACCTCTTTCAATCAGTAAAACTTTTAAGCCTTTTTCGTTTCTCGATGGTACCTCTGTTAACGTTGGATCGTTAGTTGAAAGGAAAACCATGTAACCGGGACTGTTGATGCACCGCCATGTTACAATAGTTAAAAGTTTCGTAAACTCATACAAGTGTATCTTCTGAAAGAAGGTCCAAATTTGGTTTCCGAAATATTAGCTTACACAGCTTGGTTGAATGTCTATAGAGAAAAGAAGGATTATACCCATTTAGTTTAACTTATACACCGAACGAATCAGCTTAGCAAAGCGAAAATCAGTGATTCAAGCATCGAATGAATACGGTATTAATGCACCCTTAAGGTAATAAATGACAACTGCTACCATGGTTTATATTGCCTTGGCAATTAATAAATTGTTTAACGACGATTAATTTGGAGGAAAACAAACTGATGCTAAGACAATGAACCACGGAGAGAAGAACGCACAACCTCTCCTTGTAGAATCACGTTCTGAATGCACAAATTCCACACGGTATTGAGTTAATAGGCGTGACTTTTGCCTTCTATTAAACCAAGAGAAGATGAATCGACCGCATGGCCGGTTTGAGGTACAACCGGTGAGGTGGAAGTCAAGAATTACAAATTGCGTTCCGCTGGACCAAAATCGTCGACTCGGTCATCCAAGAACACGTTTGGATGATCCGGTGGTCAAATTACTTGGCCTGCGGTGGAGTCAGAAAGCGGAAAAGAGATGATGTCGGGGGGGGGGGCTTGCATTCATG